AATTCTCAGGTAAAAGATACAACTTCAGTAAAAACACAACTGGGTTCCAATTAGAAGATTCTACTCATCCAGGAGAAATGTGAGGAAGGCTACACTAAATTAGCCTTCGCCACAATAGAAAGGAATGTGAGAAATACTTAGTAGGTAGGCCAGCATTTACCAGGTAGAAAGGAGGCAGCAATATTTCTGAAAAACTGTATATCATGTTTCCCCCAATTAAATCACATTTTAAACTCAGTAGGAAAGAGCAACCATTAATGAAATCCCACAGTGGATCCTTCATAAGTTTAAAAAACATCTATTTTGTAATGCCAATAGTATTCTCTCTCTCTCCTTTTCTTTTCTTTTCTCTTTTTGGCCACACTGCATGGCGTGTGGGATCTTAGTTCCCTGACCAGGGATGGAACTCATGCCCCCTCATCAGGAGCACTGCAGGCACAATAGAAAAGTCTCTTTTTTTACTGCAAACTTTCACAATTGGTGAATATCTTAAATTGTGATCACCAAAGGACCAATTGCCCTTTGGTATTCATTATTTCTTTGAATAGTCTGTCACCTCCCACTAGAATCTAGGCTCCCTGCTGCATCCAAGGTACCTGAACAGTGCCTGGCACCCAGAAGGTGTTTATTTGGTTGAATAAGAATAAAGACTTTGTAAAAACACAAATTTGCATTTTATGTACTTTATACATATATCTTTTATTTAATATTGTCTTTCTTTCTTTGGCAGCTTCTTGAGCCCACTGAATACCCTTTAGTTCAGACAAAAATGTGTGGTAGAATATTTAAAAAAAAAAAAAAAAGACTAAATTTTTATTTTATTATCCCAGCTAGTAAATAAGAACTAAAAGGGTGAGGGAATTGGTAATGAGATTAGTGGCCTTTGAACTACAGCGGAAGTGTCTCAAGTCTGCATTTGAGACAGCAACAAGCACCAAAAAACAGACAAGTTTTACTGATAAAACTTAGATACTACAACAAACATGATAAAACAATTATAGCACATAAGTAGTAATTGTAGAACTATAGTGCTTAAAGTGATCGAAGAATGTTAACTTATTCCATAGATATCTGAGGAATATGAACTAGTACTTTAGAACATTCTTTAGAATGAAAACTATTAGATAATGCATAAAAATCAACTTGGAAAAAATATTCCTTCAACAAACATTTCTTGGATACCTCCTATGTGCCAGGCCAAATCCTAACACATGAAGCAAATTACTAATAAACTGTTATCAAGACATGCCTAAGCCTCCTGGCCATTTAATAAATATTTATTATTATCTCTCATATTCACTACACTAAGCCCTCGGGACACATCTATAAACAAGACCAACACAATCTCTGTCCTGGATTCTAGTGAAAGAGAAAAGAGAACCAGCAAACTGAGAAATTACAGTAAGGACATAAACAAAGGGCCAAGAAATAAAAACAGGGAGGCCCACTGGATGGGGTGATTGGAAAAGGCCTCTCTGAGGAAGCGACACTTAGGCTAAGGCCTCACGGATGAGAATGAGACAGCTCTGGCAGTTCTGAGGAAGGAGCACATCAGGTATCAGGGGCAAAGGGCCTGAGACGGGAATGAGTGTCGGAGAGCAGAAAGATGGCTGCTGCTGAGTCGCTTCAGTCGTGTCCGACTCTGTGTGACCCCAGAGACAGCAGCCCACCAGGCTCCACCGTCCCTGGGATTCTCCAGGCAAGAACACTGGAGTGGGTCACCATTTCCTTCCCCAATGCACGCATGCATGCTAAGTCGCTCCAGTCGTGTCCGACTCTGTGCGACCCCATGGACAGCAGCCCACCAGGCTCCACCGTCCCTGGGGTTCTCCAGGCAAGAACACTGGAGTGGGTCACCATTTCCTTCCCCAATGCACGCATGCATGCTAAGTCGCTCCAGTCGTGTCCGACTCTGTGTGACCCCATGGACAGCAGCCCACCAGGCTCCTCTGTCCACGGGAGTCTCCAGGCAAGAATACTGGAGTGGGTTGCCATTTCCTTCTCCAAGAAAGAAGGCAGCATGGCTTGAATATAGTGAGCAAGGGGCAAAAGTTGAAGTCAGAGTGGCAGGCAGAAGCCAGATCAACTGTATGCCACGGGGAGAAGTTGGAATGTCATTCAGAATGCAATGGGAAGCCATTAAGAATTTTAAACAAGACAGCTACATGAACTGATTTGCATTTTTATAAAATCATTCTTGCGGTTGTGTAAAGAAGGAACTAAAAAGACGCAAGGGGGAAATGGGGAGACCAGCTGGGAGGCTGTTATTACCACAGTAACATAGCCAAGAAATGACAGTGATCGCGACCAAAAATCTAGGAGTAGACCAATAGGAAAAAAGTGGGTGAAGGGAAAAAAAAAAAGTGGGTGAGTCCTAGAGGTATTTTGGAGATGGGAGAACTGAATGCATGTGGGGACTGAAGCATAGGAAGTTAACTAGGGTGGATTTCTGGGTTGAGCAATTAGATGGATGATCGTGCCATTTATTGAAGTGGGTGGTGCAAATTACTGAGATTTCTTCTTCATGTTCTGTGTATTCAAGCCTACCTAAGGCTTACTAAAGACATTCCAATTGCCAAATTCAGTGAATACTTGAAGTGTTCACTCTCTTCATCTGACACTGTTAAGACTCCCTTAAAACTTCACACTCTCCGTTTCCAAGACAGCACTCTTCTGGTCCTTCTCTTACTCAATGAGTCTCCTTCTCAGGTTCCATAACCCCAGAACTCTGTTCTTGGCCTTCTACTATTTCATTCCAGGACTCTCTCCCTTGCTGACCTCATCCAAGCAATCCACAGCTTTAACTACTACCCACATAAAGCCTCCCAGATCCATACCTCCTTCCAGAACTTCCTCCTCACCTACCCAACTGAACCATCTACCCAACTGTCCCATTTCCATTGAGATATTTCAACTGCATCTTAAACTCAACATATCCAAAAGTAACTTCATCATCCTCTTCCTCCAACACTCCTTTTCCCTCATCCCATATTCTTCATCTGTGAAAAGCATAACTTTGCAGAACTATGCCCAGCTTCTAAAGCGCAAAACTTAGGATCATTTTACTCTCTTCTAAGTCCACATCAAATCAACTTCCAAGCCCCATCAAATTTACTTTCTAACAAGTTTGTGGATATGTCCTCTCTTCATAACCCACCATTTTAACTCAGGTCTTCAATCCTCCTGCTCTTGTTTCTTACGTAACATTCTGGTTTCTTCAGCCTCACATCATTCAAACCCACCCTTCACATCTCAACAGTCAGGGAAATCCTTCATTGGCTCTCTATGCCCTTAGGATAAGATTCAGCCTTACAAATGGCAGACAAGGTCTGTTGGAAGTTAGAGCCTCTGGCTGGATTTCCTGCCTCAACTCCCACCATCTCTTCTACACACTCCAACCTCTCACCATGCCGACTGACCAACAAGTTCATTCATGACTCTGCATATACTGTTTTCTCCCAATACCTACTTAGTTCAAGCATCCTTTTCTTTTAGCAGCCTGAAATTCAGTGTGAGATGATGACTCTCCTCTGTGCTTTTATAGCAAACCATTAATGAAAGACTTCTATTGCTTATCACACTTTTTTTCTCCCACTGAACTGCAAATTATGTGAGGCCAGGGACTATCTTTCCTAGAATATTTTCGGTGCTTAGTACCGAAAATTAAAAAATGATTAGTAAATGTTTGTGGAATAACAGTATCTAGATCAAACTTAAGAAGGCTTTCTGTAAAACATGAACTGCTATATATAGTATTCATGACAAGAAAAGGTAGCCTGAAAGAAGAGACATTCAGTAGTTTTCTAAAATTAACCAATAACAACAGCTGCTGACTTTCAGACATCAGCATTCATCTTCCATTACTGAAGAGCTAGCTATGTCCTGATGTAATTCTGATGACCTTTTTGTATTAGTATCCATTAATATTTATTTCTTCAGTTCAGCGACTTTTTAATACTCTGAGTTTAATTAAGATTTCTCTGACTGTTTTTGTCCTCAATAAAGACAGAGGTCAGCCTCTCATGTATAATAATTCTGTCTGAATAAACAAGATTTCTGATACACATTAGTTTTAAGCTATTTTCTACTTGTTCACTAAAACACGAATATTATCATCACTACCACCACCAACAAAAAACACATGCTCCTAACCTTTCCCCCCCCCCTTCAGAAGAGACATTTATACAGAATGGGTTGTCTTATATATACAAAGTATATCTTCACCTACCAACCACAGAGAGTGAAGGGACTTTTACATTTATACTTTATAGCTCCTGAAGTCGTTCATTAAATATTTTTCCTGGCTCCAAAAATTACATTACAGGGCTTTTCTATGAAAGTTATTATTGAGTTTTTCATGTTCAGATACTGTGATGCAACTGATATTTTGGCAAAACAAAGAAATGAACAAATCTCCGCAGTTTCTTAGGCGCTGCCTCTCTTTATTACCATAACTTAACCACATTCTGAGACAGCAACAAGTTCACTGCTTTGAGCAACAATACACAAAAACGTTCTATGGCAGACACCACTGCAGATGTCCATAAAACAATTCATCCAATTCAGTAAATCCAGCCTGAGGTTTTTAACCTTATATCTCACTTATGATATCTGGCAAAGGAAAAAAATGTAGATTTTTTTTTTTTTTAATAAAGACAGATGTGCCTTTTAATATCCTATGTCTTGTCAAACTATGGTGACTATGTCTGGAATTATTATGGATTTCATGAAACTGTTAAGCCAGGTCATTCCAGTGGTATTTCAGCTCTTTGCACCCTAACCCAGAAGTAATGCTAATTTCTTCCTGGTGCTCTGCAGGTTACAGAGATTGACATATGAAACTCTGGGACCCTTTCATCTCCGAGACTTAAAAATGGGTTGGAGAGCACTGGAAATGGAACCAACAAGGCAAAACAAAGGTCGTTCAACAGGGAAACAAACCAACAAAGGCCCCACAGAAGAAAACCCTGCAGCCTTCCGCCGGCTCCCAAAGGTGGAGAATGCCAGAAGCCCGGGTTCCTGAATCGGAATCCCAGTTGGGCCTGGGCGACCCAGAGTCACCAAGCGGGGAAGGGGGGCGACTCAGCGAAGGCACAAGGCAGCCGCCCGCCGCCCAGACGGCCCGCTGCCCAGACGGCCCCCCAGAAAGATCAAAGTAGGGAATTCTCCCCGCCTCCTCTACACGCAGGGATCCAGGAAGAAGAAAGAGGCTCCGCGCCTCTCCAGCCGGTTGCGGGGCCCGCGCTCCCCGCCCGCCAGCTCAGTTCTCCGGGCCGCAGGGCAAGCAGGCCGCGCTCCCTCCCCAGCCCTGTGCCCCGCAAGCGCCGGGCCGGCCCCCAGGTCCCGCCGCCCCCGCTCCGGCCCCGGCATCACTCACAGAGCCCGAGCGCCGCCGCCAGCACCGACCACAGACAGCGCCGGCGGTCTGGGGATGCAATCAGTGCTCCGGCCCCGGCGGGCGCTGCCATCGTCCTCCCGCCGCAGCCGCCGCCGCCCTGGGCCCGGGTCCCCACTGCAGTTAGCTAGGCTCCTGGCCGAGGGCTCTGGACTCGTCGTCGCCGGTATCAGCGAGCACCTCCACGCCGCGGTCCCCGCTCGCGGCCCCAGCCACAGCCTGCCAGCAGTGTGCCAGGGCCTGGGCCCCGCGCCGGCCACAGCCGTCAGCTCATTGGCCTGCCCCGCACACTTTGAAGGACGCGATTGGAAGGCACCGACTGTCCATCATTCCCTCTCTCCAGGCGGGGCCCCGCCATCGCGGTCCCACCCAGGGCTCCTTCTGCCAGCGGTGGAGGTCCCTGGCCGTCCGACGCGACCGCCGCCGAGCCCCATGCCTGCCTGCTTGCCTGCGTGGCTGTTCGCCCATCTTCTCCGGCCAGCGCGCGTCTCCTCTGCGTCTCTGAGCGCCCAGCCCCCCGGATCTCTTCATTGTCTTCGCCTCCGTTTCTGCTCTTCTCGGTTTCTCTGAGCCTCACCTAGAGAAAAAGAAGCAGTTCGTTTACACAATTAAAAAAAAAAAGAAAAGGAATGAGATGGGGAGAGACTTCTGATTCAGTCGTCCGGATAGAACACATTTCCCCCCTTGCCCTGTATCCCAGGTCTGTTTTGCCTGGATTCAGATAATTTACGTGCAAATTGAGAAATCTAATAGCTTAAAAAGAAGTCTCCATCTTGTCTGACTCTCCTCTAAGGAACCCTCCCTCCCCCACTTTTGGCTAAGAAGCGTTGGGAACTGGGAATTCTCTCCTACTACCTGGAGCACGTGTGGATGGGGTTTTGCCCTTGTAAATGTCCCTCGATTTATCAAAAATTGGCAAGTTCCCCCTCCTAACTGAAGTGCCATGTCTGAGCCGGTTCCAGTTGGTTAGCTTGGTCCAAAGCAGTGTCTGCCACTTACTGATTGCCCCAAAATTCTGGAAAGTGTTTGGAAGGGTCCTTATGAGAACACCCTGCAAAAGGGAGAAAACGGAAGGGCAGGAGCACAAGAAAAATGAGGGTGTAGGAAGAAAAGGAAGGATCCAGGTGGGAGGCCTGTAGTGTGAGAGAAGGAAACAAGTATTAGACAATTAGGATGAGAGGGGGAGAAGAGCAGGGTGGGGGCGCTCCCCTGCAGCCCCTCATTTCAGGGTTTTGTCTCAAGTCAATCTTATGAACAGCCTTCCTGATATTTTTGCTGTTTTAGCCTGCTAGCCTTGTAGTATGGCAGACTGATAGCAATTACCTTAGTCCCAGTGAGAGAAAACTAAACAAACAAGAAAACACCATTTCACCTTACTTCTCTGTCAGCGAGATCCTCATGAAGTGTTTTTGGAATGCCATATGATGGAAAGACTACAATGCATTAAGTGAGCACCTACTATGTGCTGTAGATGCAGAATACCCAGGCTTTACTCTCAAGAAGCACAGAGTCTACCAGTCAGTGTAGCAAGCAAGTACTGAACTAAATTTTTTTTTCAGTGCTTAAAGAGAAGGTCGAATCAAGAAGAAATATAAGGCCAACAGGGACAGTGACCCTCAAAGATACATGTCATGTTAAAAGCTTCTGTGCTGCCGGTGAGGTACTTCAATACAGATAACTTCCTCTTCTGAGAACCACTGGCCCACGAGGTGTCCAGAAAAGATGCATTGAGGAAATAGCATTTGCAGTGGATTTTATAGGCTGGATAAATTTTTACCAGAGAGAAACAGGAAAAGCGAACTCAGAAATAAGAAAGCAAGTGCAAGGATCAGTGGTTTAATCCTTTGTGGTTTGGAACTTCAGGGAAGTGAGGGAAAGAGGGGAAAGAGAGAATTATACTTCAAAGTATAGTTGAAGTCAACTATACCTCAATAAAATATATATATACTATATATAAAGAAAAAAATCCNTGAAAAAAAAAAAAAAAAAAAAACAGAAAGAGAACCTGGTCTGTGAGGAAAGCTGATAAACTGGGCTTTAAACACAGCTGAAACTTCTGAGAAAACCCAGATGGTCAATTAGAAGGCAGTTAGATATGTAGCTCTGGAGCCCAAGGAAGCAACAGGAGAGGCTACCATGAAATCAGAACTTGCAAGGGTGGCAAAGTGTTTCCACAAAAAAACCAATATCAGATCATAAATAGATTATAAATATTTGCTGAGTGAATAGATGAATGAATGTTTATTAAATTAATCGAGAGAAGTTACAAAGAAAAAGTCATGTGAGGTTGTTTTAGCCATAGTCCTTGCATTCTAGTTTCGGATCCTTCTGTAGAGATAGTAAATGGAAAACAAACCACCCTTTGGATTTTCAATCACTATTGTGCACTTGAGAGTCTCACTTAACAAACCTCCTCCTCCATAGATACCTGTTTCTTCCTCCTGGAAACCCCTCTTCTCAGCTCAGTCAGTCCAGGCATACAGCCAGAATCAATTGAAGACTTTCCATCAGATGAGAAAAGTCTTTTTAATGGGCTGTGTCACCTCTGAAAGGAATGGACTTCTTGGAGAGAATTTTGCCTACAGAGTCAATAAGAAGAAAAACCATGAGAGTCTTGTCTGATAAGAGTTATCTATGCACAGATCCATTGGCCTCTGAGATTCCTGCTCCATGTAGTATAGAGTAAGTGCAATAAGGAGGGTTGGCCTTGGAAACATCTCAGGGCTTTAAGTCTTCTCTTAATAGAGATCAGATAAGAGGCACTCAGGAGCAGCTAGTGCTAGCAAATATATATGGGCAGAATTTTCTAGAGCAGGAATTAATGGGAGAAGTAGAAAAGACAGTGTCAGGCACCAAAATTTCCAACATCTTTGTGACTGTAGTAGAGTTCTCTTCCAATTCCTGTACTCTCAGTGGTATTCTCTCCCTCCTTGTATTTTAAAATCTGTTGCCAGAGGAAGATTGGAATGCTGTGATCTGTGGGTGGTGATAGCAAGCCATTCCAGGAGCACTGAGATTTGATGGATATCAGATAGAGTCAAAGAAGAATCCAGGCCACAGTGAGAAAGATTTATCTGGAGCTAAATCAGTTTCATTAACATTTCTACAGAGACGTCTCAATCCAGGAAAGAGATTGCACTTTCCTAGGAAAGGTTTGAAAATCTGAAAATCCGAGTTCGAGTGCCTCTGGTGCCCCTGGGCATGGAGGCACAAGTCGGGAGAACATGGTAACGGGGTCTTTAGGGTCTACTGTGTAGGAGAGGGATGTGTCACCAGGCTTCTTCATTCACTGTGGCCAGGAAAAATGTTCCTCAAGGCTCTCTGTCTTCCTGCACCCCAGTACAACCTATGCTTCACCTATGAGGGTGTTTCACCCAATACAACTTCCGCTTCACCTATGAGGGAAAGATGTGCTCTGGAGAGATATCACAGGCATTCCTCTCGCTGGGATAGAAACATTTCTTACTGTGAGTCGGGCAACTGATAGCCTGAGTTTTGTTACTGTCAGTCTTCCTATATCATTGTTGGGAAGGAAATGTGATAGTCTAGTGGCACTTGCAGAATAAAAGACAAACCCTTGCAATCACTAGAGAAGAAGAAATAGGAAAAATAAAAGCCCTAAAATGATCATAACTCAATAATAAGTTCAAGTGGGAAAGGGGAACATAAAAACAGACCTCTTGGTAACTGTGGAAATGGAGGTTCCCAGAAAACTGAAGTGATTACATTATTTTATCTAATGAGTTATATTTTGTAGTTTCCTCATTTCCAGGAGAAACGGAAACTTCTTAAGTGTCCAGAGCACGTTTTTTTTTTCCAGTTAGGTTCTAATGAATAAACTCTGCAGGATTCTAGAACTAATGAATATTTTTAAAGAGTATTCTTATCCTCATTGTCTTGGGACCTAAGAAGAACTGAAGACTCAAGTTAGGACATTTTCAAATAAAACAAAGGGTGGGGTCTGAATGTTAGAACCCCAGAACTATGATTTACTCACGTCAAACCAAAGGTAGAAAGTTAACAACTTAAGAGTGTCGTTAACAACACATAGTGCCTCTAAATGTTTGAATGAATGAGCAATCGAATGAATAAACTGAATGAATGGTACATGAAATAAAATAAATAGGCCTGTTTAGGATAGTCACTCTGTCTACTTGTAGTTTTCTATCTGGTTCGTTATTTGTTAGAGTTGCAATTGACAAATACTGATTGTCCAAGTACCAAAATTTGCAGTTTTAAGGGATTTGGAACATATTGCATTCATTCAGCAATTAGTCATTGAGCACCAGCTTTGCCAGCATAAGCCTCAATGCTAAGTATTTAGGAATTTAAAATACAGTAAAGACGCTCTTTTCTCTTCTCCATTTTCCTCTGTGTGGTTGAATTTACTCCTCCCCATGTCTTTTCACAAGAATTTGAAGATCAAGCAATTTCTGACCAAGAAGCAAAAGCAGAATCGTTCCATTCCCCAATGGCTTCGAATGAAAACTGGTAATAAAATCAGGTATAACTCCAAGAAAAGACACTGGAGAAGACCCAAGTTGGGTCTCTAAGAGCCTCATATACCAACTGGCACTCATTTATGCTACGGCAAGGTCACTGGCACCTTGCTTGAATCACAGTAGTGAGAACTCACTGCTGTCTGAGCAGCTCATGGGAGAAACGGAAAGTTTGACTCTTGGTGTTTCCTCAGGAGAGGTCCATGTGGCTCAGTAATAAATACGTGAAACATTGTTTGGGGGGAAAAAATAAAAATAAATAAAATATAGTTAAGAATCCATGCCTTAAAGGTACTGGGACGATTGGACACCAATCATAACAACTGTTTGCCAGTTATACAGTAGAATTCAGTATTGCTGTTAATGTTGATGTCCTCTAACAAGTAATGATTAGAAGAGATAAGACTGCAACCCAGTTATATACCACACACAATTGGTTTGTAATTTGTTAAAGGATTTCTTTCTGAGAAGGTCAAAGGAGAGAATGAGAAACAGATTTTCCAGCTGAGGAAAACAGATCGAGTGAAAACACATAGATGGCCTGAAGAGGTGGAGTCCCCATCTCCGACGCCATCATGCCGCCGAGGAGGACCTGGGCGGGCGCGAGTCAGACCCTCTCGGGAAGCGGCCTGCCGCCCGGCCTTTACCTTCGTTGGTCGGAGGAGCCCGCAACAACAGTCCAGGCTCCAGCAGAGAAGGAGGAGGACGCGTTATATCGGCAGCCCCTGGAGATTCTCCCTCAGTACCTCCGGGCGCAGGTAACCGGCGCCAAGGCCGCGAAGGCCCTGGGTGGGTCTGGGGCCAGCAGCCGGAGGGCGTCGGAGACCCGGCGCCGAGTCGGGGATGGGGTGCAGCGCCACCACAGACGACTTTCCAAGGCATGCTTCGGAAGCTGGACATCGAAAACGAAGACGATGTCAAATCTTTGTCTCGAGTGCTGGTTCATGTTTTCAGTGACGGAGTAACAAATTGGGGCAGGATTGTGACTCTTGTTTCTGTTGATGCCTTTGTGGCCAAACACTTGAAGAGTATAAATCGAGAAAGCTGCGTCGAACCACGAGCAGAAAGCATCACAGATGTTCTCCTAAGGTCAAAACAAGACTGGATAGTCAAACTAAGAGGCTGGGATGGGTTTGTGGACTTCTTCCACGTAGAGGACCTAGAAGGCGGCTTCAGAAACGTGCTGCTGGCTTCTGCAGGGGTTGCCGGAGTAGGAGCTGGTTTGGCATATCTAATAAGATGGCCTTTTAAGTGCAAAAATTGACTCTTCAGCCACCAAAACAGCCACCAAAATCACCGCTGTGAACTCACACGTATCTGTGAAGTTGGACGTCACCCTGTGCAGGCCATCATCTAACAATGGATAAAACCAAGTGACAGGAAGATTGTGGCTAACAGGAATAAATACAAGAGCAAAGTTATCTCCCTTGAAGAGTCAGTCTCTGAAAGAAGCTGAGTTCTGTTTCAGCAACAGGCAAACTTTGGGAAGCTATGGAGATGGACATTTTAGTTTTAGTGAAGATGTTGGAGTGGAGAGACTTTACCTAGAACAGGAAATTGGCCAGTGGACAGGCTAGTCATAGATACGCCCACTGAATTCATAAACTTCTATAGTGTTAAAATAGAAGCACTAACAATGCCAGTGGCATATGTAAAATTGATTTTAAGCCACAAGTAATAGAACTATGACAAGAAGCCTCAGTATTGTACCGCAGAGTGTGAAGGGATGCTTTTTCCTCTGTAGTTAGCTTTCCCAGGTGTGATTCTTCAATAGACCAAATGCTCAGGATGTTTATACCTGTTCTGCTTTGGCTGGGTTTGAGCGATTCTTATTTGCCTAATGTCATGGCCAAGAATACTGAAAGTTGGAATAGAATCACAAATTTGGAATGTTGAGTTTTGAAAAAGTTGCATTGGTCTGTAAAAATTGTTTATATTCTTGCAGAGTAGTATTAATCAAAAAGGAGATAAAACAAAATTTTACTTTCATTTTTTCATACCCTTAAACTTACAGCTTCTATAGTTAGGAACCTGTTTCTTACAGCTTTTCTGTTCTAATCTTTGTTCTAGTCAATACTAGATTGTATACAGAACCAGCTGATGTGATTGTATGCAACCTGGTGTAGTAGAACAATTCTGATAACTATGCAGGCTTTAATTTTCCTATCTTGATTTGGGTAAGTATTTCTTAAAATGCTGTTTGGGGTTTTTTTGTTTTTTTTTAACCTGGGACTGAGAAATTAATGAAAGTTAATCCTTTCACTTTGTTACACCTGGGTTTTCAATAATTGAGTCAAGGTTTTGAGATTTATTTTGGGGGGCGGAACACACTGGCTGATGACTTTCAGATGATGGGCTCTGATTGGGCAACTACTTATTTTGAGTTCCTTCCATTTGACCTAACTTAACTGGTGCAATTTAAACTGAGTTCATGAGCTCATCTTCAAAGCTTTTGCTAAAAGATTTTCAACTGTTCCAAATGGGACTTGTTATCAGACAAGACTCTGTTCATGGCCTCAAGAATCTCATCAGGTGGATGAGAAACACTTGACCCCTATTTGCTTGATAAATTGTACAATAATGGCTTGGCAAAGCAAGCTATAGTCTATCCATGGTGCTATTATTTAGGCTTGCTTGTTAAACACAGGTCTAAGCCTGGCCTGTGAATAAAACAAATACTTATTTCATTTTTATTAATGATTCTTGAACTTTGTTTCAGATTTTTACATTGGCATCTCTATAGGTTTCAGACTTGATGTTTTATCTAACTTACTGTTTATTTCCTATCCTTCCTTAAAATATTTGCTGCTCAACCCACATGCCCATCAGCAGACGAATGGATGAGGAAGCTGTGGTACATATGCACCATGGAATATTACTCAGCCATTAAAAAGAATTCATTTGAATCAGTTCTATAAAAAAAAAATTTGCTGCTTATTCTGCTCCCTCTACCCATATTTGTATTAGTCCCTACAAATTTACCTTGCCATTCCTGAACTCTTACTAGCCCTTTTATTTTTTGGCATTAGGAACCTAAGTGACCGCCCATGGAGTCCACCAACCTTCCTCATTTTTGACTTTTATCTTAGGAGATGGCAGTACAGTGGATGTTGACAGTAACAGTCATGAGGTGAGAAGAGTCCCTTCTTGTACTAGTATCTTATTGGTTGTTGCTTAACTCTGGGGAGAAATTTTCAAAAGTCCCCTTAGGGGATTTCAGAGAAGGGGACAACTCTTAAGTAATTTTTCTCTAAGTACCTTTGCATTTGAATATGCTCACTTATGGGTTCTGTTAAACCTCAAAGTTATATAAAAGTTACTAGTAAACCGAAGAAAACTATAGTGTAACCAGGATCATTTGAAAACTTCAGTCTCTGAATGTGACCTTTAGTTTGTGGACTCCAGACAAAAATAGACATGAATAAAATGACTAAGAATGTAATAAGGGAATTGCTCTGCCTGCCCATCTCTAAGCCTTAAGGTCATCTAGCTAGAGCTATTTTTTTTATCTGTGTATTTATCACTGTTGATCAGAAACCACTTATTTATATCATGTCTATCTCTAAGGACCTAAAAGCACTTTATGTAGTTAATCTTAAGATATAGTTAAGGCGACTTAAAGGCCTGTCTCCCCATAGCCAGTTGTGGAAATAAGCACAGAGATGTAAATTGATGAAATTTAGGGACCCCGTCTTCACTTTACTAGGTGTGAGTGCTGAAATGTAAAGGAGGATCTAAAATTGATATTTTGGTCAGCAGCTTGTGATAAGGGTCTAGGGAGTCCAAGTGCTTTGGGGCAAGGTGAGTAGAAGAGGCATATGTTTTAAGTGCTGACTTAAAACTAGTGCTGCCCTAGCGCTGGCAAATCCTCCACAACGGGAAGGGAGGGGCTGCTTGGAAAGATGGCTCTCAACAAGTTCTGCCTGGTGCTTCTCTCAGGGAAAATCCTGCAGTCCTTTAGTGGTGTCTATGTACATTCTGTTGGGGGTGAGCAACTTGGTTCTGGTTAAAACAGCTAATGCTGTTGACAGCTGTGCCAAGAAGAGTTAGGACCAACAAACTAATGTGGGCTATAAAATGTAGTGTGTTTCCCTAACTTCCTGTTTTGTCTGAGAAGAAGAAAATAAATATTTTATTCAAATGCAAAAAAACAAAAAACGAAACGCCCACATAGATGGCATACTCAAGGCTGGAAAGATGGTGCTTTGAACACTAGGATAAAAGGTGTACGCAAGAAACTGACGATTTTGCTACTATTGGAAAGTGCAACATCCAGAACTCAGGAGGGAAGAGAATCTGGAATCTACCTGCCACAGGGAAATTGCCACACACTCACTGCAATTTATCAGCCATAAATATAAATAAAATTATAAATATTCCACTGATAGTGACACCGTTGTTTTCTTCTGTGTCACTGATTTTCAAAGATCAAGAGAAAAAGAAAATCGGTTTACACTGAAGCGCAAAACAGCCGAGGAATATAAACACATAACAGTAAACAACCACTTAGAGACGCGGAAGTCAGCAATTCTTCCTGCCTTTAGGGTGGCAGGAAGACCGTCAGAACGGCGGCTCGTTGGTCTAGGGGTATGATTCTCGCTTAGGGTGCGAGAGGTCCCGGGTTCAAATCCCGGACGAGCCCTCTTTTTTTTCCCCCTTTGAATTAAATCCATTTCTAAAGAAATTAACTTTAGATCTATAAATGTAATAAATACATGTTGGCGAAAAATACAAAATTGAGACCTTTTGAACTTATAGCACACTTTAAGTTCAAATACCATTAAAAGACATAACATGAAAACGTAGCAAGTTTGAGAGCAATGTGATGCCCTGAAAAGACTCGTCCCCATTTCTGCCAGCTCCAGAGTCGAGCACGTCTGTTGGGCATCTCCGGTGCCTACAAGTGCGACCTAAATCTGCTCACGCCGGCGCTCGTCCGCCTGCGCGGCGACCGTGGGAGGCGGACTGCGCGCCCGCTCACCCGGGCCCGCCGAGCCTCCGTGCTCCCGCTCACGCTCGGAGTGTTCCGGGGCTGCCCCGGGGTCCGCACGAGG